AGAGAGAGAGAGATGGGAGGAGGAGGAGGGGGTTCCAAAAGCTCCAGACTTAAGATTCCGATTCGTTGTCGTTTTTTTCACTCTGTGTTTCTTCCTCTCATATGGGTCTATAATTACGTGTGTAGTAGATAATCGACACCTCAAACGCCACAATTCAGGCCATGTAGGAAACAGGTTGCATTGGCCAAATCTAGTGGGATGCAATGATAGAAGATCAACACAGACATTTACATGATGACCGACAGACTAAATAGTCGGTGAGGCGTCTATTAAAAATGACAGGCACGCCGAGCCATTCCGCTCTTTCTATAATGTTATTGCGACATGTATATTACATTTAGCGACCTTTCTCTTAACTTTGGCATCTAGTATTGTAAATAGACTTATTTTTATTCAAAACATTTAATTCTTTCTTATTTAGCGTCACTATGAAAACGGAAAGTCGATTTTGATCACTGTTCTGTTTTCATTTTCACCGATCAGCTGATTTGTTTTCATTTTCTGTAGTGTCCTGAAGGGGGCCTGTGGAGTAAGCTATTGATCTTTTTATTCTGAATTTAGACAATTTTGATTCAAATTCTGATAGCAACTACAACAGTGGACCCGTCACATTGAAAGAGCGCTGGGTTCTCCCCAGGTTCTAAGGGGAAAGGAAAGGCTACCAAAAGGCCCAGGACAACAGCAGCAAGACCTCTTTGTCTAGTACCGTTTGCTGGTGATTCGTCACAGCGACAAACGATATGGGACAGGCTACAAAAGGTTTCATTAGTCTTCCTTTGCCTTTTTTGTTTTCACGTATATTATAGTGTAAGAAAATACACACAAACCTTGAGGTCTGTCATCGTCCTGTCCATGACGACCAAACGTTTCTGGCTATTCTCAGCGTTACTATTATGGGCAGCGACCTGGGACTTAAGCAGATCTCTTTCAGCAACCAGATTCCGGTTCTCATGCTCTTTTTGGCGAAACTTTGTCTCCAGTGTAATCATACTACGCAGCTCTCCCTCACACTGCTCAAGAGACTGGCGGAATAGAGTAATGATGGTGATTACAAATACTACTAATAAATATGATAAACAGAAGGAGAAGAAAATGAAGAAGAAGAGGAAAACAAAAAAAAAGAAAAAGAAGAAAAAGAAGAAGAATAAGAAGAAGGAGAAGAAGAAGGAGAAGGAGAAGGAGAAGGAGAAGGAGAAGGAGAAGGAGAAGGAGAAGAAGAAGAAGAAGAAGAAGAAGAAGAAGAAGAAGAAGAAGAAGAAGAAGAGGAAAAAGAAGAAAACGAAGAAGAAGTAGGAGAAGGCAAAAGATGGAAATAATAATAATAATTTAAAAATGATTATGATAATGATAATTGATAATAATGATAATGATACTTTTTTTCAGATCAAATGTACACATAAAAAACAAATGCCATATTGCAAGTTCAAAAGTCACAAAAAAAGTTTCGCTCCACATACAAAATTAATCTAAAACATTTTAGTGCACTATTGAACATAGCTAGTTCAAATGTACAACTAGCAAATCCAAATATAACAGAATAGGAAATTTCACATAGCAAAAGAACATATCCTCCGCAAAGATTATTCAGCGTGAGAATCATTTTAATGTGCTCAAAATGAGTGACAACAACCATAAGCAGTATCATTTTAGGGGGATTTGATCTCCATGAAAAAACATCCCGAGGATGCTCCCGCGGAATAAAATATGATAGGACTGAAGCAACCAGACACCAATAACAGCATTTAGCGGTATGAATTTGTCAGTGCTTTGTTTAAGTAGTGCAGGGTCAAAGGGGACGGAACCGCACGATGACATGTGCTGTTAGTGACGAGGGTGGCCTTGTCTTTCACATTTTTCAAGTAGAGGGAATGACAACTATCTTTTCAATACATCCCTTTAAGAAACTATATAACAAATCCCCAGAACGAAATATGCTTTGAAGGTAATAATGCTCCTGCATTACGGGAAGCTTTAAATGGCAATTCATCAAAAGATTGGGGGTGAAATATCCCCCTCCCCCCCCCCCCCCCCGACACACACACACACACACACACACACACACACACTTTTTCTTAACATCAACGACAATGCATGTGAATTTAGTAAATATACTATTTAAAACAAAGGTTAGCTGAAGCAAGAGACTAAATGATCCTTCAGCAGACGTATCAACAAAGGGTGGTAAAACTTGCCAAGTTGATGGAAAAAAACTCAAGCCTGACTACAGTGAAAATGGCAGCAGTCTTCAGATCAATTCAAGCCTATATTATATGCCACAGTGTTTTGTAGTGCAACAATAAATAAATCAAATTAAACTTGGCGTTGCATTTCATCCTATTAGTTTTATAAACATTGGTAATTTGTCGATTTTTTATCATAACAATTCGCTTCTTTTCCCATGATTTCTTCCTTGTTGCTTACATCTAACTTTTTCGTGGCAAACCATAAAAAGGTAAGGGCAAAAACAAAAACAAAAACCAAACCTTTTTAGTTCTTACCTTGATACACTTCTTATACTTTTAGCCTTTTTTTCTCCAGCAAATTTACATTTTAAAATGCTATTTGAATTTCCTATAAGGCGAACAACTTTAGCTGTGCATTACACTATGGGGGTGAAAAAAATAGCAACATAAATGATTTTGGTGTCATTACAACCCATGAAAGCAAAATCACCGCATGCAAAATGAAAAGTCTCCGCAAAACCTTTAAAATCACAAGACGAGACAGGCAGAAAAATGAAGAAGTAAGAGCAGCTATCGGCACTGATTTCTGCCTGCGTTACATAGAAAGAAAGAGGATAAAATGGTTTTGCCACCTGTTACGCATGTCACCTGACCAGCCAGCCTCGAGAGCCTACAACACCAAGCACTCAGGCTATAAAGGAAGAGGAAGGCCACGCAAAAGGTGGGTCGATGGGTGTCAAGGAAACCCTAAGAAAACATAACATCACAACTGAAAGAGCTGCGGAGCTGGCCTACCATAGAAAACTGCATCTCCTCTCGACGTTTAACGGCAACAGAGGATGAAAAAGTAAAGTAAATTCAGTACAATCAGAAAATCTTCCTCTATAGCATACTGAAAATCGGCTTAAATAGGAAAGGAGAAACATTGTTTAAAATGCCGTTTAAGGTATAGTATTGAAATTGTCAAACACCGAACCCCCCAAAAATTCAGAATCGCACGCTATATCTCACAAAACACCAATCTTACACCACTAACGGGAATCTGTAGAAGAAGAAGAAGAAGAAGTAGAAGAAGAAGAAGAAGAAGAAGAAGAAGAAGAAGAAGAAGAAGAAGAAGAAG